TATTCTAATCCAGTTTTTTCTAATATTTACAGGAGTTGAAGAAAATTATGGACAACGCAAAGCATGGAGTAGTATACTTCAGCATGGGTTCCAATTTGAAGAGCAAAGACATGCCTGAGGAACTTAAGAAGAGTCTCTTGCAGATGTTTGGAACTCTCAAGCAGACTGTGCTGTGGAAGTTTGAAGAGAAAATGGATAACCTCCCTTCAAATGTTCACATTCTAGATTGGGCACCACAACAAGCAATTCTTTGTAAGTAAACCTTCATCTTCTTGAGATCTTTAAGAAGACTGTTCAATGAAAAAAGGACTTATTAGAGTTCAGAAGATTTATAATAATATAATTCCTCTTTTGCAGCTCATCCCAATCTTGCCGTCTTCATAACACACGGTGGTCTCCTGTCGACAACAGAATCTGTGCACTTCGGTGTACCAATTATTGGTATACCTGTGTTTGCTGACCAGTTTCTAAATGTCGTAAAAGCTGTTAACAAGGGTTTCGCCCAACGAGTGGACCTATCTTATACCATGGCTGATAAACTAAGGGAAGCTATAATCGAAGTTACCAGCAATAAAAGGTGTGTATCTGCATTAAAAAGAACGACGATGAACGTAAGTATATCCATCAATTAAAATAATCAAAAATAATTGATGGATACTTACGTTCATTTGTGAGTCATTTATAAGTCACTGCGTAGTAACTTTCATACTTTACGTTAAATTGTACACTATTTTAAAATTGCTAACGAAATGTGTTGCTTTAACAGATACGCAGAGAAGGCGAAGGAATTGTCCTTTATCCACCACGACCGGCCAGTGAAGCCAGGAGTTGAGCTGGTGCACTGGGTGAACCACGTGATCAACACACGCGGCGCGCCACACCTGCGCTCCCCCGCCCTGCACGTACCCTTCTACCAGAAGATATACCTGGACCTCGCTGTTTTCCTCGTTATCCTACTCCTGGTTGGACGCCTACTCGTGAAGAAAGCTTATAGAGCAGTACTCTCAAAAAGTAAAGCCAAAACAAAGACTCATTAGATTTCTGTAATTCTTTTATTTATATGATGAAAAGCACTGAATAAATTATTTTAGTTTTATACTTCTTTGTTTATTATATATTACATTTTGTTAATCGATTTGTACATTTTGTTACTCTTTAAGTTGAAAATTCTTTATGACATAAAATAATACTACATTTAGGAATTTTATAAAGAATAAGAATGTAAGCAGACGACGAAAGAATAGAGTCACACTACTAAGGTCATAAAAATATGCCCGACGTCCTAACTCACATTTTCTTGATTATTTTTTTATATCCTCTGTCAAAGTATTTTTGTAATCTTTTCACTAATGGAACAGAGGGAGACTACAAAAAATAAGAGATCACTAATAGATATGAACAGTTTTATACAAGAGCTAATTTTTGAGTTAATTTTATTTCTAACGTAAAGTAAGAAATCTTCCTAAAATCCGGGCAAACTGTCAAACTCTTGGTAATTTGGATGGAACTAACATGTCTTGTATCTTTTTTCGCATGTATGTAGAACTGCTTTTAAATACCCTCGAGTATCGTATCTCAGCTTCTGACAAATGATCGTAAGTGATATAAGCTAGGGGTTTAAACTAATTTAAACTTTATCGCCATTTTTATACGATGAGGCATCAGTACACCGGCACCGCCCTATGACCGCAAGTTTATTGATTGAGGTGATAATTACCCCTGTGTGTGAAGTGGGTGGAATAGTATGATAATTAACATACAATTTGTTTCGCCCAATCCTAGGTAGAGCTACACGGAACTTCATGACGATGTCACTGTGAAGTCAAACTCTGTTTCGGCTGAGTGCTGTGCAATATGTCGTGATTTTGATTCTTTCATGGGACAATGCTTTGTGGGGTCCACGTATTGTTGTTCCGTGTCTGAGTGTGATGTGTATGTGAATTTGTACGTTTATATACGCAAGAATGACACAGGCACGGAATATAGAATACAATGGAAGTAGCAAGTAGGCGTGGTACGCGTGCCACAGCTAAGCTGTGTACTGCTTACTCGAGGCAAAATTTGAGTT